ATTGATTTGAAATATATATCATTCCCGAATTTTGAGAAATACTCCAGGTGGTATATATACCACGCCCGTCCCTAAAGGATTAAGGCCTATCCTATGGAAGTATCCTATGCAAAGTTTCAAGTCGAAATTTGAAAATCCGTTTTCTCGAGAGAAACCACAGCATTTATTAATGCAGTCTCTCTGTAGTAATAACCTAAGAGTACAAACTCTTTTCAGAGGATTCATTGTTTATTTGGATCTACATAGTGCACATAGTCTCGATTCAAAAGTGATTGAACAGTTGGAGAACTTTCCTCGTGAGCCCTACCTCATTTTAAAAAGTTCCCGCCTCCTTTGCATCTATCATTGATTTTTTTTGTCAAATAGTAAACTGTTAATGAAAAAATGAAGGACTGTCTTTTTCGTTGATGGTAGACATTGACAAATTAAAAGTCAAATACATTGTAAATTGTGGTCAATAATGATTAATTCTTACAGAATGTTGTATGTGCATGGCATGACAGGCTAATTTTTTTTTTACCGAGAATCAGTTTTTTAATTACATTTGTATGAATCAATATTATTTAAAAAAAACTTTATGATTCGTAACTAACACTGATTCGTTAGGTTGGCGAATAGTAACGTCTTAGTCAATAAGAATTAACACATACATCTACTATAAATTAGCAATTACAAACTCAGTATGACAAAAAATAATCATCTGAATATAAACATGATCGTTTGCAGTACGTTTTCAAAAAAAAAATTATTCAAGCCTTTATCAAAATGTGATAAAGTGTAAGGAAATAAGTGCACTTTTGTTAGTAAATGATTGTTAAAAAAATACAAAAAAAAAAGCTTTTTGTAGGCTTAATTTTTTATATGTTTAAAATGAATTTAAATGTAAAAATGCTTATGAACAATAAACGATCGCTATTTTCAATCTCGTAAACAATAGATGTTAGCTATTACCGTCGATTTAAATATAATGAATGCAACATAATGTTATTTAAAAAAAAACATATCGATTATTAAAACACATTTAGTTTTTGTCTTAAAATATTATTATTTTCTTTACATTTTTCATTTCCAATAATGTAATAATATTATTAGGAAGAAAGAACGTAACAATATAGAATTTTATTGTTATTTTTCAAAAAACAAGAGTCAAACTATGTAGAGTTTTTTATTAAAAAATGGACGTCATATAATGTATATTGTGTATTTTTAGATTGAATTATAAATTTATAACAAAATAATATGCGTAATTCAAAGAATAATAGAATTATCTCTGAAAAGAATTAAGTTAAGATTTAACATAGATAATTTATCTATAGAATACAGGATAATTTTGCAAATTTCTTCATTTTTTACAAAATGAGTTAATTGAATCTTCGATTACTCAACTATTCATTAACAGAAAAACTTGAATAATCATTGAAAAAGATAAAAGACATATCTCACTAATAGATATAATAACTAAGACATTTTAGCATATTTTATGAAATAAATTTCCAATCTCTGTTATTCATATTAAAATCTAAGTTCGTCTATAACGTGAAAATCAATTTGAAAAATGATTTATCATATTTCTTGACACAAACATGCATACACATTACAAATATTTTTGTTATCGTGATTGACAAATCAATAAAAAAATTAGATAAAGATGTCGTATGGAATACTAACAAAATGTTTGATTGTATTTCTATATGTTATCTAGTTGCAAAATCAAATCAAGAAAATAAATCATTTTTACAAAAGAGAAATATTGCAGGAAAACGACAAAAAGTCATCCAAGCAAACAATGACAATAATTATCCATCATTTTTGAATACATTCATTTAAAGACTTATATCGAAGTATAGACGATTTGAAAAACTAAAGTATTTTAATGAATTTTATTAAAACTATAATAATATCTATTAAGTTTTCACTTTTTTTTTTCAAGGAAAAAAATGTTTACTAATATTTCATTTCTGAATGAATAATATTATTTTTGAAAAATTCGAATGCATTAATTTTACTCAAAAACAAATTTTTTTCATATTATTATTTAATAAATAAATATAAACATAAATCTTAGTATCATCTGAAAATATCTAATAATAAATAAAGTAAAATTATTCAATTGTACTTTTCTTTTCATTTCGTTATGGTTCTTCTTGAAAATTGAGAATAACCTCATTATATCAAGTTTATTATTATATATGCATTTACAAAGACAAAAAAAGAAGTAATAAAGTAGCATTATAAAAAAAAATTCCTCAGGAGAAAATGGTAGGACATAAGATAAACCCTATAGTCAAAAAGAACATCGTTCTTCATTACCATTTTCATTATAAGCTGTCTATTGAATCGAATGACATGCAATAAGATAAATCTATTGTAAAAACTATGTTTTTATTTTAATAGTCGTATCTTATGTCAAAATGTATGATTCAATATCAAAAATTTATTATGTTTAGAGTGCATTAAAGCATTTTCTCATTATATTATACGTAATTCAGATGATTTCAACCATTAGAATGTCTCAGTTTATGGAAATGAAAAGCTATTATTCCTATTAGGTTTAAAGTGGCAACTTATAGTAATATAAAAAACTTATTATTTCCAGTACGTTTATTTAGAACATAGCTTTTAGAGATTGTGCATACATGCGCTTATTAATGATGGCTTGCATTTTTTTTCTTATTACTGATTAAAGAAGATTAAAGTATGACAGTTATCGTTAAGATTTACGCTTAATTTATATGGAATAGTTTGTGGATTCTTAGTCGAAAATCTTAAGTTTTTTTGATATTTTTTTTCCTTGTCTTTATTAGTTTTTTTATTCTATTCATATTGACTTTCAGTGATCAACAAAGGGAATTATTCTTTTGACATAACGTGAGAAACTAATCAATAATTTATATATGTTTATATAAAGAATAAAAATCTAGAAGTGAGAAAAAAGAAAATTAGGTTAATATTTCTCTCTCATTTTTTTTAACCAATTTCGTCTGTGGTAACATTATTTCTAACGTATTTTAAGTGAATGTCGACATGACTATAACAGATTTTAATGGACACCTTCTTTTACGTATATTTTTTGCTATTTATATTCATATTTTTAGTTAAATATTCTTTTGAAATTATAAAACTATTCACATCCATCAATTTCATCATTATCAATTTATTTAACATGTCACTGAACTAAATATAAAGGAGAAAACTAAACTAAGCAAGAATAAGAGAAAAAAAAATATTGTAGATCGATTTTTCTCGCTTCCGTATATATATATATATATATGTAAACGTAATAGAGATACATAAAACATCCGACTCGCAATTTTTTTCTCGTCTTTGTCGCATTGAGACATGAATAAAAAAAAATTCTAGAAACAATGTGATAATATAATAAAAAAAGCACATTTAATTAGTTTCTTTATTCTATCTAGATTTTTAAAAAATTCAGATTATATTTTATTTACGATAGTCTAAATCCAATGTTGACATTATTCACATCGAATAAATTCTCGCTAGCTATGGTTCAGCTCAGCATCCTTTTATTTGGTCTTTTAAGTAAGTAATCATAAAATAATTTTCAAATAACTTCATTGGCATTATTCCTTACCGAATAATTTAAAAAATTTTTACATGTCTTGAATAACAATTAAAATTAAAAAACTTGTCAAGAAAATATAATCTTTATCTTAGTCATAGACATTCGAGAAAAACTGCGACAATTCAGATGAAGCAATAATTTATACGTTTTTTCTTTAAAAAGCTAATGTTACAGTATTCTTTTGATCGGACTAATAGAAAAATTTGCATATATCAGAGATGTGGATTACAGTAGACATCTCTACTATAGACATATATATCTAATATATGCACTTATAATTTAATGAAATTTATTGTTTGATAATACTAGACTGAACTTCTGCTATATCTCGTGTGATAGATAAACTAGTTTAGTTCATTAACTTCTTTTTATTTGGTAAGATCACGTCATTTATAAAACTGAATATAATTAACAAGGAAGCTTTTATTCAAGAAAAAACTAGTTCAGCTGTCTACAGAATTACATTATATTTTCTTATGAAGAAAATCAGAAGACTTTTTTCATGATGACATTAGATCGAGGAAATAATCTTTTCTTCTTATTTATTTGATAGACAGGGCTTTATTTTTTAATACGTCAATGACATCGAAGAAATACGGAATTAAGATTAAAAAAAAAAGAGAGTATTGATAGAAATAAGAGTACAAATTTTTTAATGTTAAATCTAAAGTTTTGTTTCTATTTGAATATCATTGAAAAAAGTATATTTGTTTTAGTACGTTCAAATAAATTGATTATATCAGATCATTGAGTTCACTTTTTTTCAAGTAACATTAGATAAAAAAAAAATAGATGTCATGGAAATTATTATAGAATTTCATTAATTGAGTCCTTCTTGTTTTTTAAATGACAGGCAGATATTAGATTTCAATTAATTCTAATAAATGACAAAATATTATATGTCAGCTAAGTTTTCCTTATCTTATAAAGTAATAATAAATAAAATTGTTTTATTGTATTTTATTGTTTTTTTTAAAGAGACTAGACATCATGAAAACACGCAATTTCGATCTCATATCTTGAAGACATTTATGATTATATCATTCGACATCATTTATATCTTAAGGCATTTTTCTCTACCTTATTAATTAAATCAAATTATATTCTAATTAATTGTCTCTTAGGAAATATAATATATTCTTGCATATAGTTATCTTATTTTCAAATATCATATTGCATTTTTTTTGTTATTTTAGTCGTTGGTAATTGGGCAGTACCAGCCACTGATGAATTACAAGAAATATATGTTGACGCATGTCAATTAAGCTGTGGTCTAGTTAATAATAATCACGAAGCAGACGGATGTCGAGAAAAATTTTGTCCTAATTATGTTAATTATTTATTAACAGGCTTTACGATCCCAGATTCACCACCTAGTCTTGCATCAACTAATCAAAAAGAAGTAGAAAAATTTTGTGCCACATGGATGCTTCATTTACTTGAAGAATTTGGTTGGCAAAGACGTATTCATCTCAATCTCAAAGACTGTACTTGTGCTGCTGGCACTGATTGTCTTGTTAAATAAAAAAACAAACCATAAAAATCAAGAAATATTATTCAATCATATATAAAATATATACATAAAAAAAAATATATAACTTCTAATTTTTTGATTCATTTTAATGATGTTGTCCATTATAAGTTGAGATTACATGGAAAGAAAAAATAAAGAAAGAAAATGACTATTAATATATTGCGACATCTTTTTCAAATTTAAATTATATAAAACTGTGTTTATTTATTTATTGATTTTGCACCTCTGTACTTTATATTTCAATATATATGTACCAATTAACAAACGATCCGTTGTTATGGTGATTCATCATTTGTACCGTTTCTCTTTGCGTCTAGTTTATCTCTCATTATTTTAGAAATAGTTCAATATAATAGTGAAATAAAGATGAAAATTGAAGAAGTTAAGAGTACAACAAAAACACAACGTATATCAGCTCATAGTCATATTAAAGGATTAGGTTTAGATGAAGAACAACGAGCTATACGTAATGCTGGTGGTCTTGTTGGTCAAGAACAAGCGCGTGAAGTCTCTGTTCTTTTGTCTGCAAGCTATTTTTTTTTCAATGTTAGATTTTTTTATAGGCAGCTGGTATTGTTGTTGAATTAATACGTCGAAAAAAAATGGCCGGTCGAGCTGTTCTATTAGCTGGACCACCAGGCACTGGCAAAAGTATGTTTGTTAAAACATGATTTTCAATTTATGTATATATATATAGTTTTTTTTTTGTTTCATTGGAAATTAAAATATTTGTATAATGAAAGATGAAAAAAAAACTTGATTAGTATATTGCAGATATGATGTAAGCGATTCATCATATTTCCTATTTCGATCTTAATTTAAATAGTAGCAAAAAATACCTTGAGAGTGTATTCTTCTACTGACGTATGTGTTGCAAAGAATAAATTGTTTACAATTCAAATACGCAAAAAAATTTATTCTGTGAATTGATAACAAAAAAAGAATATAATTATCACTGAGCGTGTTTATCGACAAATTATAGTAGTTAACATTTTGTATTATCACTTAAGCAGAAAATATGTGAATTCCTTTTATAGTTGGTTCTTTTTCTTATCGTATTATTTTTTTCATAAAAAAAATATTAGTAACACACATTCTGAAAGATGAAAGTAATTTTCCTTCCGGATCATTTGTATTAAAATGAAAGAAGGGTGAAGATTTGATATCTTTATTTTTACATGACATACCTAAGGAAAAATTATACAGAATACTAAATGTCTTGGGAAATTAAATCATTCAAATGTGAGAAAATTTTCTAGACTTCTATGTAAATAATTGAAATAGAAATATGCATATATATATATATGTATGTATTTAATTAGCTGCTCTTGCATTGGCTATTGCTCATGAACTTGGTTCTCGTGTACCATTTTGTCCAATGGTTGGTAGTGAAGTATATTCAACAGAAATAAAAAAAACAGAAGTATTAATGGAAAATTTTCGTCGTGCTATTGGATTACGAATGAAAGAAGTTAAAGAAGTTTATGAAGGTGAAGTTACAGAAATGACACCAACAGAAACTGAAAATAGTTATGGTGGTATGATACATATATAGATTATATTTTTCTATGTTAAATAAAATTATTTATAATTTCTATAGGTTATGGTAAAACTGTCAGTCATGTTATTATTGGTTTACGTACAGTAAAAGGTGCTAAACAACTTAAACTTGATCCATCAATTTATGAAACATTACAAAAAGAAAAAGTTGAAATAGGTGATGTTATTTATATTGAAGCTAATTCAGGAGCTGTTAAAGTATGTTGAAAAATAATTTGTAATTATTAAATGAAATAAGAAAATTTTTTTTTTTTTTTTTTTTTTTTTTTGTTCTAGAGACAAGGTCGATGTGATGCTTATGCAACAGAATATGATCTTGAAACAGAAGAATATGTACCATTACCAAAAGGTGATGTACATAAAAAAAAAGAAGTTGTACAAGATGTAACATTACATGATTTGGATGTTGCTAATGCACGACCACAAGGTGGACAAGATATTTTATCAATAATGGGTTCATTAATAAAACCAAAAAAAACTGAAATAACTGGTAAAAATTCTTTATTATTTGTTGTCTTTTTAATTTTTTCAATAAAACTTTAAGATAAACTTCGTCGAGAAATAAATAAAGTTGTTAATAAATATATTGATCAAGGTATAGCTGAACTTGTACCTGGTGTTTTATTTATTGATGAAGTTCATATGTTGGATATTGAATGTTTTACGTATTTACATCGAGCTTTAGAAAGTCCACTTGCACCTATTGTTATATTTGCAACAAATCGTGGACGTTGTCAAATACGGTATTAAAAATGATTCTTTTTGTTTTTAATTTCGATAAAATATTAAATTTTATTAGTGGTACAGAAATTCTTTCAACACATGGTATGCCACTTGATTTACTTGATCGTATTATGATTATTCGTACACTTCCTTATGGAATGGAAGATATGATTGAAGTAATTGTTTTCTTTTATTTTTTAAATGAATATTTTTATTATTTAGATTCTTCGAATACGTACAAAAGTTGAACATATAGATATAAATGATGAATCTTTACAAACACTTGCTGAAATTGGAAATGTATCAACATTAAGGTAGGAAAAATTTATTTGGCTTTTTGTTTTATTAAGTCTTTTTGTTTTTAGATATGCTGTACAATTACTGACACCAGCTAATATTCTTGCTCGTATAAATGGTAAAGATCAAATAGAAAAAGAAGAAATTGATGAACTACGAGATTTATTTCTTGATGCAAAATCATCAGCATATTTACTCAAACAAGAAGATGCTAAATATATGAAATAAAACTATACATGGTTTTTTTTTTCTATTTTTACTTTGTTATGTTACACACAAACTAGGCAATTATCATAAAAATAAAAAACAAAAAAATAATAATTATTGATAATTATAGTAGATAATTGATTTGCACTTGATGAAAGAAATTGATCGATTGAAGTGTAATTATATTTCGTGATATTTTTAGCACGAAAATAAGCTTCCCCCTCATTTATTGTAAAATGATGAAAAATAGAAATAGTTTCTATGAGGCGAATGAAAGCAATTTATTTTCGGTAGAGTGTCCAATATTCTTTTTTGTTGCAAAGTTCTACATCAGATCGATAAAAAAAAGGATTAATAAAAATTTCAATTTGTTTAAATTCGAAATACTGATTTCTCAGTTTCTTTATTTATCAATAGTACATTTTTTTTTTGTCCGTCGATTTCATCATAAATAATTAATAAGTTTAACAATATGTTACTTGTAATGGTATCAAATTTATTGGGTTTTCGACTTGCTATAGAGAGGATTTTAAAAGCTTGCTTTTTTTCAATCGCATATGACGACAAACCGCTTGGCTACCGTTGCTTGAAATGATAGCGCCATCTATCAATTAGTAAATGTCTGCTCAGTAACCTGAAATCTCGAATTCTATTGAGACAATGGTTTTTTTGTTTCTTATATTTTATTTCACTATACGACTATTAATTTGATTGGTTTTTCATCGCTAACCTTGTGATAATATGGATCCTTGTTGCAGAAAAAGAATTTACAGAATAGCGGTTTCTTGTTATATACTAAAACATTAATCAGAAAAGCGATTCTCATGGCTATTTCAAACTCAAAGCCTACAACTAGTATGAGAAATCACGGTCTTTTTATTGTGTATGATTCTAGCACTGTTTGAAAGCCTGTTCATGCTGTATAGTTTTACTCTTTTCTATGATACACTAAATTGAACCTCATTTATTGGTATTCGGTCACTTAGAAAGCAAGAATATGAGTAATATTGCTTTTGTATACCTACCAAAAAAAAGGACACATAATCTGACCGAATCCACCTAGTTGACTGGAAGAGTTCCAGGTGTCAAGTCTGCAGAAGAGATACTTGAATTAGGACATGTTTAGGAATGAGAAACCCGCAAAAATTCTGCGAACATTTTCAGTCGTTACTGCTAATGAATACATCAATTTTTACCTGTATCCATACAGCTGTATTTATGTTTTCTTTCATATTCATGTTTTACGATAGACTGGAACAAATGCTATTTGTCAGATGTTGCCTGAAATGCATATTAATCCTTCAGGATATAAGCTTTGTACAGTTCCTGAATGAAGACCTTGTCAGAACCTTTACAAACTTGCACTAGGTATTGTCAGGTGACATTCGAAGCCTATTTTGAGTAATACACGGTGTTACAAAAGTTGCCTACAAAAGAAAATTGTATATCTCGCTTATGGTTCTATTGAATGCGTTGGTTTTTGTACTGGTAATAGAGAACACTTGTAAGTTTTTGTTCATAAAGATAAAGTTCGTAAATGCTCCTATATAATACCATTGCCAGGTTACATATACGAAAAAGCCGTGTTTCCAGTTTCAGAAAACAATGCGTAGGATTTTTTCTTATTAATGTAGACTTTCCATAACCCAAGTCTTTTTCGCTTGCTTTCTAAACGTTTTCATGACACTTCGGACAAAAAGCTACAGTGATTGGTGCATGTGCTCAAAACAATTTCTTCTCTCCTTATCAAAAATTGGGATGAAAGGTATACAGAGTAAACTGATGCAATTTTAAAGTTTTCACGAGCGCCAAATTTAATATCGATGTGTCTGATTTTTTAGAAGCGTCAAGTAATTGTTTAGAAAGCAAGAAGAAGAGATCTGGATGATGAAAAGTCCACATTAATAAAAAAATCCAAAAAAAACAACCCTATAGATTGTTTTCTGAAACTAGAAAAGGGCTTTATCATGTATGTAACCTGAAAGTGCTACTATATAGGAGTATTAAAGAACCTTACGTTTATTAATAAAAGCTTAGTAAGTAGCCTCTATCAACAGTACAAAGATCACAGTTCATTCGATAGAACCATATACGAGATATACAATTTCTCTTTGGTAGGTGACTTTTAGAACATCCTGTATAATGTTTCTATGGAGATTATTCTAGGTCCTTGCTAATTGAGGTGACACATTAAAAAGGAATACAATACATCTCGTTGGAGTTTCCTGTTCATATCATTATCTTTTAGTTTTGTCTTTAATATATTAAAAACTTTTTTCTTTGGTTAAGATTTTTTCATCAGATCGTCGTAGACAATATCTAGTTAATACCTTGCTAAGATGCTCTCATTCATTTGCAAAGTTCTAATAGAATTTTAAAAACGAAATACCTATTAGAAAATCATACATGTGAAAATTTTCATCTTTATTTTATTCTTTTTTAGCTAGTTATAGTGCAAATGCAATGATGTGTTTAGATAGAAAAACAAAGAGCTAGAAAAGTTTAAAAAGACAAAAAAACAACAATTGAATAATAGAGTGCAACTTTTTAAATGTAATATCTAATTGAAAATAAAAATGTTTCTGTTTGTCTTTTATCTATTGAGCAAATGGTATCGGTATGATGGAAAATAATTCACGTAATTATCGATTTAAATTACCAATAAGTATTGCTTGATACTCATTAATAGGTTCTAATTTGAAATTAATTTTGTGAAAATATGAATTATTGTTAAAAATTGTTGTTGCACAATTCATTTCATAACTGTGGTTAAATCCAACAAGTAATAATATTTCAAGTTTTTGTAATTTTGAGGAAGCACGTTCCAACCAATGATGCCATAATTCAGTTCGAAGAGCAGATTTTGATCATGCTTCGCATTTGTCAATATTACAATATCAGGAAATCGATCAGGATTTTTTATTTTAAAAATCAGGATTCGTCTTAAAAATCAGGATTTAAAGAAAAACCGTTTTAGAAAACTTCAAAAAACTTCTGCATTAGAAATGCATCGATTTCTGAATCGTGGTTTCAAAATATAACATTCTTTTAGTACAAAGAATTCATTGTTCTGTCAATTTTTTATAATAATTCTAATTACTCTATCCGAAGCTATGATTAGATTTAATCGAAGCTAAAAGAACGAGATTCAGAATTTGTCAAAATTTATAAGTTTTAAGAGAAAGTCCGTAGCTTATTTTAACTATTCAAAGAAATCAAACAAAAATTCAACGTTTATCCACATTTGCTTGATTTTCTGACGGAAACTTACAGTTCTAAATATTGGAAATACGTTGCATTCAGATATGAATGTACTAAATCCTGAAGCTTCAATTCAAAAGCAATGTATCTGTTGTATTGAGAACCCAAAGATTCATGTCAATCGTACTCGATTTTGAGTGATTTATCCAAATAGTTAAAATAGATTGTAGTATCAGCTAGAATTGATCGAAACTGCTCTTAAAGCTTATAAATTTCGACTGATTCTGAACCTCGGTTTTTTCATATTCAATGAAATCCAATGATAGCTTTGGATAAAGTAATCAAAACTGAGCAGAATTGTTATAAAAAAGGATTGAAAGGACAATGAATTCTCAGTACTAAAACATGTTGTCATTGAAGCCATAATCCAGGAATTGGGTGCATCTCAATTCTGGATACTTGATAAGGCTTCAATAACTTTACAAGATTAGAAAAGTTTTGAACCAACAGCAGTAGAGATCAATAGACTTCTGAGTTATGAACGCTTCATAATTAGTTTGCTGATCCAGTAGGATAAATAACTTGTCATTTATGGATGTCGCAAATTGACAATCAATCTTTATAATTAACAAAAAGATTGGTTTTTTCTGAATACCTTTTATTATTATGCTCATTATTGAATCGTTATAAAATACTATTATTGAAGACGTCATAATATTAGCCAGATCGATATTTTCCGAAGGACTTTTCATAGGGACGAACTGGAGATCTGCGGGTCTCGCTAATTGAAAGAGAAACAATTTAATAGCAAAACCAAGTCAAATTTAATCGGTCAATTGGGTGAGTTCGTGGTAAACGTTTTTCTTCATTGATTCTTGACTTGTAATATAACTCTTTGATAAAGAAAATTGCTCTCTTTCGATCTACTGAAGTTTGACATCTCTACCATGTTCTGTTGGAAGTTATTCAGGCTGCACAAAGACCCCTAATTTCAGCGTTTTTACCCTGAGCCACCGCAGAACAGATCTTGATAGGCGTAATTCACAGAGCTCAGTCAAGTGGCAATAATTTTTTCTGCGGTTTTAAGAAGATCTGAAACTAAGACAGCCAGTTTTTGCTACAGCTGCTGTTTAGCCACTGTAGCAAAAGCCTGTCTGTCGTGGTGTTAGATCTCTTTGAAACCAAAAGAAACATTGCCACTTGACTGAACTCGACGAATTACTCCTATTAAGATCTGTTGCCAGGTGATTCAGGGTAAAACCGCTGAAATCAGCGATCTTTGTGCACCCTCAATAACTTTCAAGCAGAACATGGTAAAGATGTCAGCCTTCTGTAGGTCAAAAGAAAACAATTTTCTTTCAACGAATAGTCATATTGCAGTTCAAAATCCAATGGAAAATCCCTTTAGAATCTCAAGTTTCAAAATGTTTACCACGAGTTTGCCTGCTTGACCGATTGCTGACCAATCAAATTTGACATAGCTGTTTTCCTACTAAATCGTTTCTCTTTCAATCAGTAAAAACGGTTGTATGGAATTTCGTCACTTGAATTTGGGCAATTTGTTCAATTTCCGCCAGTATCTTCGCAATAAAAGGAGTTTGTTGAAATCTGATTTATCGATGAGCCATAGTGGAATCCAGCGAGAATATTGGTAAAACTCCATAATTTCAATAGTTTATCCAATTTTTCATCCGGAAATTTGACAATCTTTTTATTGTCAAAAATCTGACGAAAATCGAATAACTTGTCAAAATGCATGTGACCAAATTCCGGCTGTCAAAATTCTGGTTTACCATGAAAACCACAAGTCTTCATCTCGTTCCTATGACAAGTCCTTTGAACAACATCAACTTGCTTCATATACTGCCGTTTATATTAGTTCTTTTATTGATGTTGCTTTTCGCACTTGAAATATTTGTAGGCATTTTATGATCGAATATATATTAAATGGCAGCCTCTTGCTGTTTAAACTACCATGAGACAAAAATATTCGTTGTTATATGAATAAGACAAATAAATAAATAAAATAGAGGATAGATACTTTCCACATGAATAAATATTTCTCGAGCCAAAAGAATCAGTAAATATTCATAATTCATAAGACTTCAAGACTTAAGAAACCCACTGTGTTTTTTCATTTCACTTGACACACTCAAAATTTTCTTTGCATTTACCGGCGAAGCTGCTTTTATTATCATCACTAGCATCAAAACTTCAATGTGCATACAATTGTTTACAAGTCTAGAAATTGTTGAAAAGTGTACTTTAAAAATATGAATTTCATAATTGACCTGAGAATGCGTAAAAAATATTTTCATAGATTAAAATGGATAGCTGACATCATATTTAAGAGTTTTGATTGCACAGATAACTATTAAACTTTGATTCATATCGCTAACTGCAACATGGTATGTTAATGACATAATAGTAATAATAATCACCGGTCAGTATATCTCTATTAATTTAACATAGATATATCAGACAATTCGACTGAATGCCGAAGTCAGTATTTTGAATGCAACATTACATTTGCGAGGTTACAGTATGCTCATGTTATGAAAGATGTGTTTAGTGTGTGTACTTATATTATCAATTAAGCTTTAACACCTTTTCAAATTTTCTAAGCTTAATGCATATTTTATCCGTACTAGAATTGATTACAGATATCTTCAATTAGCATAGTTTATTATTCCAATAAGTATCAAACAATATTCTCTTTTTCGTTATCATTCTATACTTCATCATTGTTGGCAAAACCAGTTATTTCCGTCCAATATTTCGATAGCTAATTTCCTTCTTAAACATTTGATGAATATTAGTTATAATCTTTATATTCCGACCAACATTTTATTTTGACCCTTCAGTATATACGGAGATATTTGACTTTTAACTAATAAACAAACAATCTATGTATAATTTATCGGTCTTAGTATTTTATATAACACTCTGGAGTGTGATTTAACCTATAATCTCTTTAAATTCTATAATGTCGATCAATCATATATTTTTTTCTATCATTTAAAAGATTAGCCTATTTCATTTGCATTGTTCCCCAAAAGTAAAAGTATGGTTGTGCTATTTCTGGAGACAAACACAAATATAATCGATTAAATTTTCAAAAAGTAAGGTAAAATATATATGATTTTCCTACACTATAGAATTTATAGGTAGAATAACACTCTAGATAGGGTTAGAGCCCTTCATAATTTTATGAAACATGATTTCAAGTTTCGATGGTAAATCTACTCTTAGGCATCAATTCCTCAGTACCATTGGATTTCATAGACATGTCTATTACGTTTAAAAACTTATCATGTCGCTTTTGCTACTCAAAGTCAAAGACCTCTATACTTTACAATCACATGATGACAGTAAAAATATTAATGGCCTCCCCATGATAAGCATCTTCGATATATTAATTTGTTTTCAATTATACACCTTTCACTTCTAGGCCAAACTTTTATGGTTCGATAACCATTCTAAATGTTTTTTTCCAGCTTTATTGCGTATTTTCTCTTGCGAAGTTCGCAAATGATCTAAAAATATCAATCAGACTGTTTTTCGTTATTGCCTTAACCTCGAACGTAAAATACAAAATAATAGTTCAAGGCCAAACAGTAAAAAAAAACGAGGAATAATGGCTATGTAATATATAAACCAAATTAAAACGACAGACTGAAAACGTAGAGAGAGACGAGAGAATTGCTCTTGGCTTAAGAATAAATAAAGCAGTGTATTTCAAATTTTTTTGTGGAAAACCCATCTTAAAATATTAGAGGCCTTAGAAAATAAAAGGTCTTAATGCTCTTAAATCAAATTGAATGATGGATTTTTCTTAATATCAACTAGAAAAAGATAATTTTCATCGTATATAAGATGAACAGGATGATTGATCAAAATCAGGATCAATCAGGATATTATATAGAAATCAGGAAAATATCAGGAAATCAGGACATATGCGATGTTTGTTGATAAACTACTATTAATATTTATCAAACGACACCGACGTAATGAATTTGAAACGATATTTGTTAGAAAAAAAATCATTGTATCAATATCTATATGTGTACAAATTAAATCAATAGTATGTAGATAATTAAATATTCCTAAATTTGTATTAAATCTATGTGGATAATATGTATTTGTTGATCGTAATGATTGTAAATAAGGCATATTATTTAATAAAAATTGATAATCAATGAAACAACGTTGACTATTAAATACTAAATGTTTAATTGTCGATGGTTTGACTAATATATCATGACAATCATGAAAATGTAAAAATGTTGAATTAAATTCCAATTTTTCGATATTATCCAAACATAACGCTTTCGTAAATACTTCCTCACGATCTTTACTTCGAGCATAAATTATTAAATGTTTTAAATTATTGGGGAAATGAGACGGCCAATTAAGCCCAGTTACATTGTGTAATATCAGTAAACGAACTTGATTAAATTGCCCTAGATTAACTGGAGCCATATGATACATATTTTTAATACGTATTGATATAACATTGTTTATTTCAATATTTGGCAAGATATGTTTACGAAAATATGCATCTATATGATGTACATGCAATTGCACATTTTCTTTCTTAAGTAATAATGGAAATTGATGAATTATATCATTAAATAAATAAAATAATTCATCAACATAAAAATATTTAAATAATTCCATAAGAACATCCATAGATAAAATATTGTATATAGTTTTGAATTCACTCATAGCTGTTTATGTTGAACTAATGAAAGATATTTTATTCTGATAGCAATCAGTATCGAAAATAAGGAGAACGTGACCTATATCACGTAAAATTATGTACTGATGTCATAAGCATGAAACATATATGTCTGCGCACATGTATATCGTGCGAGGGTAAAAAAACAACTAAATGTTTGTTATCAAGGGGTTATAGACATAGAAGCATTCAGTACTATTATCTGACTAGTATAGCTTTATACGATCAGTCAGCTGGATAATATCCCTAGATTATGAAGCTGTTTATCATAAGAAATAGAAAAAAGAAATAGAAGAATACTATAATAGAGTGCAAGTAAAAAGATTTTCATCGTAGTGAACTATTTAGATCTCGACATTTACATATTCTTTTTCTCTTCAAACGAAGTTGATATTCCATTCATAATTTTACATGAAATATATTTTAGTATTCTTCCTTTTGATCGAAAATTAGTGAACTGAAACCCTAAAGAGATTTTTATTAAACTTTTGATTAGCATCCATCAATTATACGAAGAGTAATGTTAAAATAACAGCATATAATTTTCACAGAAATACATTACAAAGCTTTTATTTACAATTTTTATCTCTTATTGAGGAAAAAAAGAAAAAACAGCTTTAGAAATATAGACCTTCACCTCTATTGAATGATTCGTACTAATAAGTTCGTGATATTTGAAAATGTAAAAAAAACGATTTTATTGGTAACGTAAGCATATATGTCAAGTTTAATTTTGCCTCAACTAAAAACCTTAAGTAATTCATATGCACAAATGAGAAATATGATAATATGATAATTAGAAAAACTTGTTTATTACAAAATCCTAAACTATTCGATTGCCTAGATTTATTCAGAAGAGTTTTTCATTTATTTACTGATTTTATTCGTCACAAATAATGTGGAATTCATCTACACATGATTTAACAAAAATGATTTCAAATCCCAAAAGAGAAAATAATGCTCATTATAATATGAAAGGAAAGAATTTTCTAATGCTTCTTTTGAGACATAAGAGAAAACCCTAAGCTTACTTTATTTTCAATGTCATCTGCAACTGTAAAAATAAACTTAACTTGGTACAAAAAAATTTTGCTTTGCCTCTAAAAATGTTTCTTTATTCAAAACTATCTGATTTATAATTTCTATAAGATTGTATTCTATATATGAATGTCTCATCTTGAAGTATAATTTCCTCAAAGCAATCTGTATTTTCTCCCTAATATCAAAGTAAATACAAATGTATAAATCATATCTTATTTCCTTTCTTTAACTTCAATAAGATGAGTTTTTTTTGTCAATAAGTTTCAAATATCAATTTGGATATAACCTAATATTCGATGATATTGAATATATGCGATAACAAATATGAAGTAAAATTTATAGAAAAAAAAAAATCAAAATAGACCTTCATATTCTTCTCTCAAATTGTTTTGTTTTGGTTGCTCCACGACTTTCCTTTTTTCTTTTGTTTTTCTGCATTAGAAAATAATATGCTGTTCATCAAAAGAACGTGATCTGTAACACTCGTCACATAAGCGTGGCATATGAGAAGTTTTCTCTTGGTAACTTATGTATATATGTATTGACGTTCGTAGCGAACGACAGAAGATGTCGATTCGCGTTGATGGGGTGTGAAGAAAAAGAAAAAAACTTTTTCTTTTTATAGTAGTCTTCATTTTATGACGTGAATCGTTGTCGTTCGTTCTTTCTCTGCCTTGCCGATCGTATCAAGTTAAAAGGAAACTATATGAAGTGAGAGAATGATGAAGAGAAAAAAAAAAGGAGAACGAGAGAGAAAGAGAGAAAACGAACCGTATTGTTGATGGTAAAAAAGAAAAAGGGAAAAACGATGGTAACAATAAAGTTAAAACCATATTTGTTACCTGAATCATGTATTATGTATACTCACACCTTTCGAACGATTGTCTTTATTCATTCGTTCTGTACTATTTTAACATTCAATTTTATAGTATATATACATATATAGATATATAGATATATATATATATAGACTATTTGAAATACTAATTCTTTACTATATCATAATAAACAAGACGTAAAAAACTATTCTCACTATTTTACTTTTCTTTTTTTTCTCTTCCTTGATGAAAGAGGTAATATTTTTTTTTCTAAGTTATTACTTTTCTTTTTTTTTTGCAACCTTGAGTTAGAAAGGATTTGTCTGTGAGTAGATCCATATGGACACGATACTGAAAAGATTCATTTCTCGCAGGTAAAACGTGTTTGATTCAAGAAAATTTTACTTATTGAAAAAAAAGAATATGTATTATACCATGATATATATTTTACCATCGGCATCTTTTTTATTTCTTCCAGCAAAGAAAAAAACAAATCAACATAATAACAAAAGACTTGAGACAATTAAATGAATAGAAAGAAGTATCAAAATATTAATTGGCATTGTCGAATGTTTGTTCCTTTTTTCTTGTTCTTCTTTTTTTTTTTTTGCCGCCTCTTCAAAAAAAAAAAACCTCATGTTTCATTATTATTGTAACTGAGACAACAGCTGCATCGATAATAACAAAACAACAGATGATCGATGAATTTTGTTGGTTTTTTTTTTCGTTGTCATGTTGTTGTTATATAACGACGTCAAACATTCGTAAATCATCTTGTCCTTGCATACTATTTACCCATTATATATAAGAGTTCACTATTAATGAATAAAATAGAGGTATTTCTTTTTACGCCATATATATAAATGTCGCATTAAAACAGTTGCCGCTATATTTGGTTATTACAACGATATACTACTATACACAAACATACTTTGTTCCAGTTCAATAAACACATACGTATTGAATATTTAATACTAGAGGAGTAAATATAAAACACGAGATATGGTATGTTTTTTTTTTTTTTTTCTTTTTTTATTCTTACTCTAAAACCATGATTAGTCAATGTAATGACACATTTGTAATGGTTTATAATAAATAAAAGCTTCCTCTATTCAAATGAATCATCTAAATCTTTAATAAATATTCAAATAAGATTTATATTATTATTTTTTGTTAATATTCTAGATTTTATTATGGGTGCCCGTATTACACGTTCGGATTTTCGATTTGTTTATACAGATGAACCACATACAACACGTCGAAAAGAAATGCTACGTATGTTTAATTGATCTTCTTTAAACAAAAAAACAAAATAATAACATTTTTATCGGTATTTTATTTTATTTTTGTTTTTTAGAAAAATATCCTCAAATAAAAAAATTAATGGGCTATGATTGGCGTATTGCTGTTCAAGTAGTTGTTACTGTATTAATACAAATAATAATGGCTATTCTAGTACGAGATCTTTCATGGAAATATGTATGGCTATTTACCTATGTTATTAGTGGAACACTTAATCATTCACTTTCAATCAGTTTTCATGAAAGTATGAAATAATAACAAATAAAAAATTTTATGAAAATTATTTTTTGTTTTTTTGAAAATTTTAGTCGGTCATAATTTAGCTTTTGGTAATCATAGACCGATTGCAAATCGTATTCTTGGTTATATAGCTAACCTTCCATTATGTATACCATCGTCAGTTACATTTAAAAAATATCATATTGATCATCATAAGTAAGTTAAAATAAAATTTACAAGAGAAGAATCGCTTTTGAGTCAAAACCTAGACGTATTATATAGATTCAAATGAGTTATGAATTACTGCGAGGATACGGCACTGTTATAACATTTTTTTTGTAATGAATATGGTGTTTCTTCTCAAGAAAATTCTCGAATGTTCTGAGAAGATTCATGACTCAGGAGATCAATTGAAAGATTTTTATCGAATTTCTGAGGAGAGGAATCGAGCGATATTCATAACTCATTTGGATCTACATAATACATATAGTCTTGACTTAAAAGTGGGTATATCAATTGTCGAAATTTGTCTTCTTAGTTATAAAATAAATTGTTTTTGTTTTTCAGATTTCAAGGTGATGATATGCTTGATCCTGATCTACCAACACATTTTGAAGCATGGTTATTTCAATCACGTCTTGGTAAAATTTTTTATATCATTGCTCAACCATTACTTTATGGTGTTCGACCATTATTACGTGTACCAAAGCCAGTAACACTTCTTGAAGTGATTAATCTTTTAATTGAAATTATTTTTGATATTATTGTAATATGTGTACTTGGGAGAAAATCATTTATTTATTTATTATTTGGATCATTACTTGGTCTTGGTCTTCATCCTATTTCAGGACATTTTATATCTGGTTAGATAAAAAATTTTATAAGTTTTAGTTGTTTTAAATAATAGTTTGTTTTTTTTAAAATTTAGAACATTATGTGTTTGTTGAGGGTTATGAAACATATTCTTATTATGGTCCATTTAATTATTTAACGTATAATGTTGGTTATCATAATGAACGTAAGAAATTTTTTTTATTGTAGAAAAAAAAGAACTTTTATTTTATTTTCTTCGTTTTTATTTTTAGATCATGATTTTCCAAATATTCCAGGTTATTCATTACCAAAAGTAAAAAAACAAACATCTGATTGGATTTTTTTTTGTAATAAAAATCTTTTGTTTGTTTTGTTTTTTTTTAGTTAAAAAAAATTGCACCAGATTATTATGATAATTTACCATGTCATACTTCATGGATTAAAGTATTAATTGATTTTGTTCTTAATCCAGATTTAGGACCAAAATCTCGTGTACGTCGTACAATACGTTCGAATGCATTAATATTAAATAATGCAATTGATTTAAAAAATAAATCAAAAGTTAATGAAGTTTTACATGATGTTACGGATAATAATAATAATACACAATTATCAAGAGATGAAAGAAAATTAATAAATAAAAAAAAACATTCTGGTAAACAAAATATATCATCATCGATACAATTAACGAATGGTGAACATTTGAAAAATGAATGATAAAATTAAATTAAAAAAAAAAACTCAACAGAAAAAAAAGG